AATCGTACGTGTAACAAAGATATATCGTAATGTTTTAATAAATTTCAGCAGTATTCTCTATTACTTGTGACTGGAAAGCTGCACAAGAAAGCTAAATAGATACATATATATATATATATATATATATATATATATATATATTATTATATAAATAATTTTATTCCGATAAATAATATTATTTCAAACGAATGAAATTCGAAACACATTGATTGCGAATAAGACGATTACAGAACTGAAAGTTTGATTACGCGGAATAAGGTATGCCCGGTGTCCTTAGCTCCGAGGGCCTAAGCCGCAAGCTATGAATTTATGCAAATCGAGATAAGACTGGCACGTCTCCATGACCTCGGCCGAACCCCATGGCCGCCGGGGGTTATGTAGTGGCTTACAGTTCGGACTTCATGCCCTTCGTACGAACCGGACTAGCCAAACGGTCCGAACTATCCGCGGACTTAACCGACTGTTAAGTTCGACTTGAGTTACTCGCAAGACCGACCCCGTATAATCCAAAGGATCTCAGCGAAATGCCCCGGTATGATTGTGTAAGCGTTCAAGTTGCAAAGGAGTCTCGACCCTACCGGCGGTATCGTTTGATCAGGATGGATACCGGTAAATATAATAATAAGCAGTGCTCGAGAAGTTGTGCGCCCGAGCCTGCAATGATGGAAGTTAAACGGCGATCGTGATTCCGGATCAATTTGAGCACCAAACGCTAACATTCAGATAGGCATGTATCAATATATCTCAGCAATCTAGGTCAACGCAATACAATATATTTCCCGTGTCATTGGCATTCGGTCAATAAAATTTCAAAATGTAACACTGTACTATATAAGTTTATCATTTTTTTTTCACTTTTATTTTACAGCTATTATCACGTAAATTGGTTTTGTGGTGTGATCGCGATAAATAGAAAATATTTTTCAAGAAAAAAAGAGAAAAAAAACAGAGTTAGCCGACGAAATATATCATTTATTTACTTTTCTTACCGTCATGCTTATTGATTTAACAAAATTTAATCGATTAAACGATCGTAAAATTTTATCGATTTGAACGTGTTTAAGCTAGAATAAAGATGAATCTCGCGCGTGCGGTAACAGTCGTCTTGATTTCAAGTACGTTTTCCTCGACGCGCGTGTCTGCAGATAATATCTTCGTGAATATTTCAACGCGCGCTTAATCGTCGCGATTCGTCGGCGGAATAAAAAAAAAATTATCAAGCCGGCTGAGTTCCAAGGAAATAACGAATGCAAGAAATCAATTCCGCGACAAGATAACCGGAGCGGCCTCAGCCTCGTGCATGGTAGCCTGTCACACGTACGTGTACGTCCGAGTCGAGACCCAGGCTGAGCCAGGCGATAAGATCGGTCGCGTGAGGCAACCTAGGGGTAGTTTGCCCCAAATGGCTAGTCCCATTTCCCTCGTCTCTAAGTAGCCGGGCATTTGTATCGTCGTAGGCGTCGATGCGCCGACTCCTCGCCTTCTCTTCGACGCCCGTCCGTCCTCGTCACCGTCACACTTTACTCCCCCTCGGTTGGATCAACCCGATAACGGAAAATCACTACATGCGCGCCCTTCCCCGCGATCATTGACGAGGCGTACGTTTAAAAATGCTCTTTTTATCCGCGCGTAGGAAAATGTCAAGATCACTGATAATTGTCGACTTTATCGAAGCCGCGGGATTATACTTGGATTAAATCCTTTCGGATCGGAGGTATGCGCGCGTACTCGAATACGTCGAATAAGACGAGACGAGTCCTCGATCTCGTCCTCGAAGCGCCGTCAGAGAGTATAATCTGGCGACAGTTTCATTAACGCTCTTTTCCCGACGAATCCATCATGGATTTGGAACGGAGTGCAGGCTGGAAACGCTGCGGCCTATCTCCTACCCTCGTTCCTTTCGCAAATCGGCTCCGGCGCGTCCCTTTCTCCGTGCTCCCCCCGGGATCACTTTTGGGCCATGCGAATCCAGCGGACACAAGTACCCACCTGAAATCCTGACGTCCTGACGTGGCAATGCAACGAGAGATCGCGTTGCAAGTGCCGGGGCTGCAGCTAAGCTCAGCACATTGCTGTATGCCTTCCGGCTTAAGGCCGATAATGTTTTCATATTGTGGCGTGCTGCCGGAATTACGTCGCTCCTTGTGATGGCGAGTAGGTCTTGAGAATGGAACAAGGCCGAGGACCTGTTTTCCATTTCTCCCTTTCTCTTTTTCTCTCTTTATATCGCTTATATCTTCGACCACCGCCCTCTCGTTCGCCGCTTTTATATTCCGCTTGCCATGATCTTTTAACATCCGACGCGATTCGCCGCGGAAACGAGCTTAAAAGCGAGTTGAAGGACCCACGCGACATGCCTCGCGGATGAGAACTTAAAAGGAACCACGAAGAGAGATGCTCGAGTCAAGTCGAGGCAAGTCCTCGACTCGCCGTTTGTCTCTGATATTCTCTTCGTATATCCTTCTTCGCTCTTTCTTCTCTCTTTCTCTTTTTCTTTTTACTTTCTGGAGTACCAAAGCTTTTGACGCTGGAATTTCCCGCGGCTTCTATTGGCCGTCCTTGCGGCATGGCCTTGACACTACTTCGAGAATGACGCTCATCAGTACGCTTTCTCTTTTCGAGAGCCACGTATGTCATATAACCGGATTCGGCATACGAAAGAATTCCAGGAAGCTACAACTCGTTCGAAGCTCGCAAAATAAATGCGTATCGAAAATAATCGAAAATATTTTAATGCGCTTTCAGCAATTGATTGTTACAAAATCCTGCTGGAATCTCTCTTTGGTTAATAAAAATATCAATTGTGTCATAAAAAATGAAAAAAATATATGGAATTACGCATGTGCACGATACGAATATATGTCAAGACGAAAAACATGCGCATGAAATATGACTATGCGCCATATGGCAATTAAGCTAGAATAAGAGCCACGATAAGAGACAGCGAACAAATATTTGCAGAGTGACGTCTTTACTAGAGATCGGTTCTATATATATACGTAGATCTCTTTTGGCTTATCGATATCGCAACAGACGCAGATTTACGAAAATTAAATTGTGGAGTACGTACAAATTATTTTCCTATCATAAGCTGTGATAAATTTATAAGATCTAAATTATTGATTATGTATCATAATCTAAAATATTGCCAAAAGAAAAAAAAATAAATTATATTTCTTAAAATTATAATCAACACAAGAGCAAAAATTTAAAGCAGAAGTAACAAATAGTCGAGCAGTAGAAAGAAATCTGAACACGTTTCTGTAAAAACAATCGTCATGCATGCTTTTTTACAATATGATTATTTGATGTACTTCTTTCCTGTTGAAAAATATGTACGTCTGTCTTTAATTTGTCAAGAAGGTTAGATTTCTGTTGAAACATACCGCGATGGTCAAAGAGTACATGCGGTCCGGTGCAAAAGAGTTGGGGCGCTTAACTTTAAGCCGGCGCTAATGAGATTGGAACACGGCGGAAATTTTGTATAACGAACCGAAGAAGCTTTTGGTCTTTGAATCAAAGTCTACCTACTTTTCAAATTTACAAAGGCCTCGGACCGTCGATGAAATAAATTCACGGTAGAATATTATAGAGAGAAACTTCTCAAAAAATTTCGCGAGACCTCTTATTAGAGCAGATCGTCCTAAGTACTCGCGACAAGCTGTCTCCTACAATATTCAACTTTTTGAGTTCGCGATCGCGCCATTTTGCAAGAGCCATTATTCCGTCTAATGGCAAAGATGTATGCAAGATAGCGAGTGTGTACGGATTTGGAGCATGATACGGCAACCATGACAATAGTTTTATGTGTCATTAACTTATCCGTCGTAATCTGGAGACGTGGAAAGAAATCGTTCACGAGCGATTTCGAATCGGCCATATGGCGGGTTTCTGGTACGGGCTTATCGAAAGATAAGTCGATGCTATTAAACCACCCCAGCGAACCCCCGCGCACCTGTCCTTCGCACGCCACGTAACATGTCGAGTTCGGTGGGATTTTTACTCCGTTCTGCGGATATACCGACAGAGTCTTTTTATCGAACAAAGGTTCGCCTTTTAACGAGTGTAGGGTAAACCGAGATAGGAGATAGTGAATTTAAATGTCCTCGAATATAACAGACGGGACGTAGAGAGGCGCACAGGGTAGACAAAGCCGGATCGTCGCGACGGATCTATCCGTTCGAAATTTTCGTCACTCGGCAATCCCGGAATGTCCTTTTTCATCAACCTGCCTGGACAAGTTTTTTTTGAAGCATGCATTATAGTTTATTGCTAAGAAACTCAATGCAAGCAATTAATAACATTCTTGTTAAAAACATTCTTGTTAATTAAAAACAAAATAGCGTAATAATTGATCGAATGCTTCGATTAAAATTAGGAATGTTCATCGAGTGAAAATTTAAAATTAATAAATACCAAGCAGGTGTATAAAAATGGATACATATAATTAGAGCATAATAAGGTTTACACACACACGCATACATACTATATAATTTGAAATTAAATTAAAACTTGAATTTTTAATCACATATGTACGTATCACAAATGAGAACATTTTTGGCTCAATTGGGAGTTTTTCTAAACTTTGAAATTATTTTTTTTATTGTGAATAAATATAATTTTGTAAATAATCTCAAAAACTGTTACACATAACATTTTTGAATTAACTAAATTTATTTTACGAAAAAAATTAATATCTAGCCATTTTATAAATGCTTTTTTCTAAAAAAAGTATGCTAATTAACTCCCAATTTATGAAATATGTACATATATCATTTTTTTACTCGAGAAAAAATCAAGCATTTTTACGGCAATTTCATAAATATATGTAGTTAGAAATATAGTTAATTCTATAGAAATTATATTTGTATAAACTTTGTTACGTATTAAATTTTTGATTACGTACACTTCGCAAGTATAAAATACTTGTTATATAAGTAAAAAATAAAAGTATTAAAATTTTATCTCGAGATTAAAATAAAGCATAATTTAGGACTCACCGGTACGATGCACATTGATGAGGAGTTGTAATAGACACACACACGATCTGTAAAATACATTAAAAATATATTCAAATTTTACATATAAAATAATACCTAAAATAATTACTATTTCAACAGATAATTGTTAAGTACATTTAAATTTTTTATTTGTCTTTAAAGTACAAATATTTAATAAAAAACTTATAATTCCCGTAACAAAATTTTTTTAATGTAAATTTATTTTATACTATTATTACATACTCATATATATATGTAATATAAATAAGAGAGAGAGAGGGAGGGGGAGAGGGAGAGAGAGAGAGAGAATCCATTTTTTATATATAAATTATCCAAATAATTATAAATTTTAATTATAACATTAAATTATTTTATATGCATTTATATATAAAAAAATTATTATTACAAATATTTTGCAAATAAAATTTAAAATATAAATATAAAAAAATGAATACATAAATTTTTTTAAAAATATTGTGCTCACCATATTCACCCGACATCTCCTTGGACTTTTTCCTTTCCTTTTCTTCATCCTTTGTTGTTTCTCCATGCTGCTCACTTGTAAAAACACAATTTTTGAATTACAATCACTCGCGCACTAATCAATAGATTACGATAATTACGCGACACAATATTAATCGCACACGACGCACATTTTATTAAGAGAGAACAAACGTGAAAATCATATCAATATCACGAATTTACAATTTGCTCGTCATTCAAAAATCATGCGCTTAAATTTGCATGCGCCATTGTCGTGGTAACTCTGTTATTAATAAATAATATGTACATACTTTTATTCCGGGATGATTTTTATCTTGTATTATATTATATAATTATAAACAATTATAAGTTAAAATTAAAGATATATATCTGCAAAATGCGCGATATTCCAAAATATACGTCATTGATTATTCGTCTGATATATTTCGATCGAATACAGCAAAAAGAATACGCGTTTTGATAAATTACAACGATATACAAACGATGAATTTATGATACGTAATTAATAAATATTAAAATACACGTTTAAATATATAACTACTAATATATTTATAATTACGTAAATGCGCGTAAATAATGCCACTCGATTTAAAATCGATTTGTTTGGCACTTGCGATGTTTCTTTCAATAATCGTGAATTACGAGAATTAATTAATCATGCAGTTAATAATCTATAATCGCTCAGGAAATAATCACATTTGATCCTCTCTTAATGTTAGTACTTATCGCGATCGTGTCTCGAATAATAATACAAGGATGTCGTCTCCCCCCCCGTTCGAGACGCAAGTGGCTACAAGTCGAACGTACACGTCACACATTCCAGCGCTCGTGACGTATTGTTATTACGTGCGACGACCTTGTTACTCGCGCGGCAAGACGGAGGAGTGGGGAGAGGTAGCGGAGCATACCTTTGAGTATCAGCGTATTAGTTTTTGGAACGTGGTCGCGACAAGATACGCAACTGCGATTATTTTTGAAATAAAGATATAATTGTCCGCAGCATTAATCAAATATCGTAATTACAAGCTGTACGCGTATCGAAACAATGATTTAATTATTGATCAAAATAAATATTTCGATCTTTAAATAAAAATCGATGTAATAAAGAACAAAGATAAATTATCATTATATTTTGATTTTACGGCTAATAATTGTATCTTTAACAATGTTTAGATTTTCATATATCTCGTATTCGCGTATTTTCATCGATTTAAATATAATATAATCATCATTCTCCTTCTCCCTCTCTCTCTCTCTCTCTTTCTCTCTCTCTCTCTCTCCCCTCTCTCTCTCTCTCTCTCTCTCTTTCTCCCTTTCTCTTTTCTTCTCTCTTTTTCTCTTTTCCTTATCGGAATAACATATAAATCATCGGGTTAAATGACGCGAAACAGATTGTAACTTCGTAATAATTGTATGAATATAATTTTCATGTTTTATTCTCTTCTAACGTAATATTATAATAAAGTACATGTCGCCTGCAATTAACATCGGGAGTGTCGTACAAAGTATCTCGCGATCGACGCGTATTTTACTGATTCGTAATTAACTGTGTTTTTTCGTGTGAGTGAATAAGTGCCATGAAGGAGCAACAAGAAATAAATCAAAAGGAGATACAGCCTCGGAAAGGCATCTGGCAGCGGCAGAATAACTGTGGGGTGAGTATAATTTTTAATTTATTTAATAATTTACATGTAAAAATTGTTAATTGTGTGCTCGTTTATCTCGACAATTTTGATGATGATCCATTTTCCACATATTGTGATATAATGTATATAAAATATTAATTATAGAGAGAGATTATTTTAATATTAAATACTTAAATTTATTAAATAATAATAATGAAATAAAAGTAATAACTAACTTTCTCTCTCTCTCTCTCTTTCTCTTTCTAACCTAAAGTCGTAACGTGAGACGAGTGATTCTGAGATTACATATAATATCGCAATATAATTATGAATACATACCATAGCATGTATTTCGATTGCGTTTTATTGACACTTATGGCATTATACTCTCGATCGCAATTATATCTGTATAATTAACACATATAAACGCCCGCGAGCAATATATCGTAAACGAGTGCGGAAAGCGCGAAACATTCCAATTTTCAATTTCGTTAGTCTTGATCCGATTCCGAGATGCATACGTCATCAAATATGGTTGTCACGTGACGTTAGGCGCGAGTCCCTAAAGGCTCGTCTGCAATATGAGTCGTACATACGTCGCAAGTCGTAGACAAATTGACCAATCACAGTCTGTTATTTATCAAATTAACCAACTGTGGTCAATTTACTTACACGACTTGCGACCTGTGACTCATTGTAGACGAGGCTTAACGAAATCGAAAGACGCGCGAAATCGGAACATTTCGTCTAGAATACATTGTGCGCGTCGTTTTATTATTTGTGACATCGGGACGCTTGTGATGTAAATATAATTGCAATCGAGCATATCGTGATTGTTGAAGGAAGGTAATCGTGTCGAAGAATGATATCACAATACGATGTTATAAATAGTCATGAGATCAATTGTGTCGTCGCGTAAAGAGAATTAAAGTAAGTTAAGGTTAGAGAAAATAAGTAGTAGCGAGAAGTGCCGAAAATAATATCGAATGAGAATCGTAGTATGTGCCTGAATATAATATATAGCGTCGTTAATGTGAATCTATATAATTAAAAAAAAACACAAGCCCATAATATATCAGTAAAGTAAGTATTAGCAGCAATATGTTATGGAAATCTAATAAAAAGATCGTCAAATAAGTTTATAATGTCGAGAATATTAAGAAAATAATATCAAATGCACGCGATTGTATATAATGTATTATATATATTTATTATTATATATAAATGCAATATATCATGTGATAATGTGTAATAGTTTATGCATCATTTTTGAACTAAAAAATGCATTTTATTATTTATAAAAGGCATATATTATTTTAAAATTTATAGCAATGCGATGTATAATATATAATACATACACACAATCACTGTGTTCAAACATAATTTTATACAAAATGAAAATCTTTTTGATCAGATTCAGTTTTATGCCTCAAATATATAAAATATATAAAAATAGATTGTTTCATAAAAATTTATAAGGTAATTTTTATGTCGATCATATTGTTATATAAAATATTATTTAGCAAATTGTTACATAAATACATTATTTACTATATTATTATATAATTATACATTGCAATATTTGTATTTTATCTTAAGATTTATAATTATTTATTATTTATATCAAAGTTAATTGTTAATTTAAAAAATTAAATTAAAATAAATTATCTATATATTTTTATAAAAAAATTTTTCAAGGAACTATGAAATTTTTCAAGGAACTATGAAATTTTTTTAATTAAATATCTGATTTATATAAGAATAAAAAACATCTGATTTTGAACAAATAAAAAATTGCACGTAATGAAATTTAAAATATTAATTACTTTGAACATTATTTTAATTCAAACTTATTTGTATTTTTATAGATCAACATGTACGATACAACTCAGCCGTTACGCATCGTATTGGTGAGTGATAAATTATTTTTTATTTTATATAATTTTAAGATTCAAAAAATATTAATATAATATAATGACAAATATGATGACAAATATAAAATTAAAAGTAAAAGAAAAATAAAAAAATATAAGTATTTTTTAAATATAGATACATATATATTTTAAACATTATTGAATATCAAGATAAATATTTTCAAAAATTCGGATAAGACATTTTTAATTTATGCTTTTATTTGCATTGTCAAAAGATATCGCATTATTTACACTTATATTAAATATATATATATATATATATATATATATATATATATATGTCATGTAATATATATAATTTGTGAATTATTACATAAGTCTGTTATATATTATTGTCTGATTTCTTGCAAGTCTTGCAGATTAAAATCAGATGATTTAATAAGATTGCTAAATCTTTTAATAATCTTTGCCTCTTCGACCCAAGATTTTTTCACGTTGAGCCATTAGTTCCTCTTCAGTAATTTGAACTTGACATCTATTTGCGTATCTGTGACATTTTATATTGGTACAGCACTGTGAGTCAGAAACACACTGAAATTTAATAAATAAAACGTTATTTTCATCAATTCAACTTAATCGAACGATAAAGAATATTAATGTCAATTCTATAAATTTAAACATTAATAAGACATATAAATCTTATTTGTAAGAAAATATTTTAAGAAATGAATAATAACAAGATGGTGTTCAATATAATCTAATACAATATAATATGTATATTAAATACTTCGTATAATGTATACACAAAAATTTATCAAATTAAAATAATTTAAAAAAAAATTAAAAATAAATTTCTTTAAATTTTTAATATATATATAAGAATTTTTTACTTCATTCTGAATTAATTCAATCATAACGGCATTGCTATTGAGAAATTGCACTTATATTTTTTATATTAAAGCTATTTTTTCAATATTAATATTCTTATATACTTTCATTATTGTATAATATTGTATCGACTATAATATTGAATATCATAAATATTTATATTAAACCATTTAAAATCCATTACAAGTTCATTGTAAAATTGGTAAATTTATCAATTTATCAATATATCAATTATAAATTAAGAATATTTTCTCCGTTTTCCTTATTGATCATAAATGCGTATACTTTTAAGAAATAAGAAAGAAATAGTAACTTTATCAGAAAAATAAAATAAAAACGTGTATATACTAACGGGGTCACCATGTCGACCACAACGACCACTCGATTTATCGGTGGCTGCTGCCATGATAAGAGACGCAGCTAGCAATGCTATGAAGACGTATAACATTAATTTTGCCATCTTTTTACAGAAACTGTTTCTTATTCTGCAATCAAATAATTTCAATAGATTAAAATTAATGCAAATAATACAGAATTGATGCAATTTTGTATTAGAATAAAACATTTTATTTTTCATACATTCAATTTTTCTATTTTTCAATCATTTTATTTTTCATACATTCTCATACGTATCATTACTTTGACTAGTCATTTATGCGAGACAGTTGTTCAGATGTAAATTAAGCTGACGTAATGCGATAAGTCGACCATGAATTTTAATTTAGCATAGCCATGTTACAGGTATACACGAATGAATCATTCAAACTCAATATTTGATTAATTCTCTAATACATTGCAAAAAGATATATATAGAATTACATAAATTATAAGTATAAAACTACACAATAAATAATAAAAAGATATAACATTACACTTATTATCGATGTAATTTTACAT